GGGGAGCCACTGAGACAGAAATAAAAAGGTTCAATTCAGTGAAACCACTTCATATGTTACCACCCCTAGGGCTAAATCATAGTTGAAATTGTCCAACACAGCCATCCATTATCAAGGAGAAAAGTAGTGGTCGCAGGCGATTGTCTTGGAAGGGTAGGCTTTAAAGCAGGTTTAACTGTATTTCTAATCTTAAGAAGAAAAAAAAAGTGTTGTTCTCTGAACCTTTCTTTTACCAAGGCACTTCTCCCCTCCAACAGAATTGCACTCACCTCCGTTGACAGGCTGTGGTATATGGCGCCGTACATTCTGTGCGCCGGAAGCGCCGTTCATACTTGGAGGCGCGTGCTTCAGGTTGATCTGCTGCTGAGGAGGAACAGAAGAATGCTGCAAGGGCTGTGGAGGGGGAGGAGGCAACTGCTGCTGGGAGGAGGAGGGGTGGTGCTGTTGCTGTTGTTGTATAGAGCCTTGCACCTGGGGGTGGTGGGGAGGAGGGTGTGAAGGGGGTGGACCTTTCTGCTGTTGCTGCTGCTGGGGTGGCAACAACTGCTGCTGGGATCTTTGCTGCGGATGCTGATGGGAAGGGTGCCCGGCGTGCAGGGACTGCTGCTGCTGCTGCTGATGATGGTGGTGGTGGTAGGGGTGCGGGGAGTGGCTGCCCGGGGGGCCGTGGGGTGGGGGGTGACTCCCCTGCTGTTGCGGAGGTTGTCTCTGATGATGCATCGACGGGGGCCCGCCTTGATTCCGGTTCAGAGGGGGTCCTGATGAGCTGGGGGGCGGAGGCCCTTGGTGGTAGTGATTGTTCATTTGCCGCGTGTTCATCGAGTGAACGTGATGGCCATGGCTGGAAGAATAAGGGGAGTTTTGACGCTGAGGACCCCTGCCCTGACCGCGGGCACTACCATTTCGTACTGGTGGCTCACCGTCCCCTCGGAGAGCAGGAATAGTGTACCTGAAAATATATTCAGAGGTAAAAGACTTGACTGTCAACAGAGCTCTCGATCACAAAAGCGTAACAAAATTGTATTTTTTAAAATCTTTGCTTAAGCAAAAACTGACACTGACAAAGTCAATGTTTCTTTTTAACGGAGGTGCAAACGGACTACAGGATGAAAAACAATAAATCCCCAATTTTCAGACTGTGAAATTTAACAATCATACTGTTCTGCACCAAGACTATATACAAAGTGCAAAATCTTGATTTCCAAATTTACCTGTACAATGAGCATCTCTGCGTTTTCCAAGCAAACTCTCTTGTAAGCGCATAACAATGAAAGCAGTAGGGGATTCATTTGTCTTCTTCACTGAAAGCACTATTTTGATTCAATGGATTCAATCCAGTTTTGTTTCTATAATGACCGTTAAAAAAACACACATAAAAGTGATAGATATTGTTCAGAAATAAAGTACGTTCCACCCACAAACAGCAAATTGAGTACAAACAACACCGAAAGGTCACTTGCCACGTTATGCTGTGAACTGGAAGAGCCCCTTACCTTAAAAATTTTTTTTTAGGTAAGTGTTTTACTGCCCTTGCAACTGTATATGGTCATATCATGGGTGAAAGTGATAAGAGATGAATTTGCCTGAAAATTCTGTTGTTAGAGAACGGAAAGCCCGGAAAGTTCATAGTAAATTCCATGCCGCCTGAATACACTCGGATCAACGCAAATTGCCTGTTTAGTACAATATATGTAGGCCTATCAATAATTTTCCAAATCCACTGCCAAAAACTATTCACAAGGAACAAACTACTCCCACTTTGATCAAAATACGTGGATGAAGCAAATGTCTGAAGTATCTTTTTTTCAACAGTGCAACGAACACAAAAAGGATGCTAGAGAGCACAAAGTGATGGAGAGGATTCTTCAGCAGTCCGTTAAAGCATCGCAAGCCATTCCCACCGAAAGTTAGGATCGGGAAGAAAATGAATCAATTATTGGAAAAACCCGCTACGCTCCAAAACTACGTCTTTTTCAATACTAGGCTAGGTACCTACTGACGTTTTTTTCTTTATTAGGATTTTTTTAAACACCAGGTACATATTTGTTTATTTTTTTAAAAATACGATTAAAAAAACAACAACAGAAATTTGTCGCACGCAGATGGAATAAAAACTACGGTAGCGTTACCGGCTATGGAAGACTTGCCCGTCCGGAGTAGCCAGAGAGAATCCCGCGAATGGGTTCAAGTAGAAGGAAAACTTTCATCCCTGGGCCATATGTGCATGCAGGACACATTTAACATTTCCAGATGGTAGGAAATTTTGTATTTGCCAGGGTGGCGGCCAAAGCATACTCTTATCAATTTGGGGCCACTAAGGAATCTTTGACATACACAACTTGCACACGGGATCATAAGATCAGGGGAGTGGCTGAAAGCAGTAGTAAGGGGTTATGGAGGTGATGGGGTGTGGGAAGAAAGTGGAGACGAAAGCAGACAACAGAACAATGTTAGAAAGAAGGAAGGATGTGAAAAGAGGAAACGTTCCGTCACTATCCGGATTCAAACTCGGGACCTATTCAATGATAGGCGAACACCTCAACCTCTTGACCATAAGAGCCCCCATGCCCCTTACCTGCGCATAGCCGTAGCCACTTGATGTAGCTTTCTTACTAACCACCTGTAAACATTCTCATTTTTAATTCTTTCTGAGCACATTCTACATCCACAGGTTAATGTTTACGTTGCTTGTTCATTTGTAATAGTTTGAGGGAGTCAGCCATCAATTTTGGTCAATATTTTTCAACGAAACAGCTCAAATTTTTTTTTTTAAAAATAGGTCATGTATAATTGGAGTACCTTTCCTCGTAAGGAAAGTTAACTCTTTATCTCCAGCAAGCTGAGCCGCTAGCAGCGGGCACATTCCTTTATAATGACTTCAACATCAAATTTCTTTTCGAAAATTGCCGAAAACAAGGTCCCTTTTATCGGGAGTTCATTTAAAAGATTAAGGAACTATCAAAATAGGTTGGTTTAAAAATCCATTTAGTAATATTATTGTCTTTTAAAAATTTACTACCAAAAAGGGGCCTAGCACAGTAGGATGTGAAAA